TTCATTGAATGGTACTGGAAGAATTGGACATCTGAAGGACAGAGGGAAAGAAAAAGAGGGAGAGAGAGAACAAACTCATATTTTGCACCCTATGAAGAATTAACTCAAAATGGATCATAGAACTACATATAAAACCTAAACCTATAAAACTTGCAGAAGAAAATATAGGAGAAAATCTTTGTCAACCTTGGGTTAGACAAACAAGTCTTAGATAGGACACAAAAAGCACAGACCATAAGATAAAAAAATTGATAAATGGACTACATCAAAATAAAAAACTGCTGTGTTCAAAAGACACTGTTATGAAAATTACATGTCAAGCCATAGGCTTGTAAAACTATTTGCAGAACACTTAGCTGATGAAGAAATTTTATCTTGAATATATAAAGAAATCTTAAAATTAAATAATAAGACATAATACTAAAATCATAATAATAAGCAAAGCATTTGAAAGGATATTTCATCACAGAAAACCTAATGGTGGCTAGTAAGTACATGATAAGATGGTTAACCTCATTAGTCATTAGAAAAATGTAAATTAAAGCTGCAGTGAAATACCATTTTACATTTACCAGTATGCCTAAAACTTAGAAGATTGACAATACCAAGTGCTGAGAAGAAAGCACCTGGAAGTCTCATGTAAATCCTGACAGTCACTTTGGAAATAATTTAAAAGGGCTTTTTTTAGTAAGGTGAAACATTCACCAGAAATATAACCCAATAATTCCACTCCTAAGTAGTTGCTCAGGAGAAATGAAACCACAATCAACACAAAAGCCTATATGTGAATGTTTGTAGTCACTGATTTAATAACAGACAAAAACTGGGAAAGGACCCAAGTGTCCATCAACTGCTGAATGCATGAACAAACCCTGGTAGAGTCATACAGTGGAATACTACTCAGTAACAAAAAGGAACCACCTGCTGCTATATGTACTGCATGGATTAATTCAAAAGCTTTATGCTAAGTGAAAGAAACCACACTCAAAACATTACAAAGAGTTTAATTCTGTTTTCATGATACTTTTTGAAAGGCAAAACTACAGTGATAGAAAGAAGGCCAATGGTTTCCAGAAATCAGATGGTGGCTGGGAGGGGATTCATGCAAAGGAGCAGGAGAAAACTTACAGAGGTGATGCTGATGTTGTACATCATGACTGTGGTGGTTCTTACACAGCTGTATACATTTGCCAAAACTCATGGACATGTACACACAAAATTGTTGGATGTGTGTAAATTATATTGCAATAAAATTGACCCCCCAAAAAAGCAAGGTACATAATAGGGTATATGGTATAATGCTATATTAAATAAAATATAACCTGTATTAAATAAAAGGAAAAAGAGATAATTTCAAATATAAACATACATATATATGTTGGAATGTACACAAAATGTTTCAGGAACCATATACATGAAATTTTTAGGATAAATTGCCTCAGAAAATGGAAATGATGTGTCTGAGAGGGCATGGTTGGGGAGAGAGCCTACCTTTTGTATCTTTCACATTGTGAACCATGCAAACAATAAACAGAGGAGGAGAAAAGTCAGTTGAATTCAAAACCTGCTACTATTCAATATGATTTGAGTCAAAAATCCTGTTTCTATATGAGAACATCTCTATCTTTGTTACTCACCATTTCCTCTTGCACCTATTTTAAAAGTCACAGAGCTAACCAAGAATATATTTAATAAATACTTTAGAGATCATGACAATAATATAAATTCAAGATGTGAGAGAGAGGAGATCCCTGTGGGAGGGAGAGTATTTTACTGTAAAGAAGAATGAAGCTTCTATACACAGCAAGTTACAACCAGTGGAGGCTCTCAGGCTTAACTCATTCAAACTGCTTCTCTTTTTAAGTGGGTGAGAACTCTAAGGGCCAGAAAGTGTGCAAATGACTTCCCCAAATTTGCATGGTTAGTCGGCATCAGAATCCAGTTGGATATCTAGCTCTTAAGTCCTATTACATAGATAGTATCAGTTAAGCAGGTGACCTAGCACAGAGCATGGTTCAAAGTAAGTCTTCAGGAAATAGGAATTTCCCCTTCTCTTTTTCCCCCTATACCAGCTGGCTTCTCACCAGGACTCACCATTCCATCCATAGCACCTCAAAGTCAAATGTCAATGGATGCAGGGACATAATGGCCTTTGCTTAAATGCTAAGTCAAATGTCAATGGATGCAGGGACATAATGGCCTTTGCTTAAATGCTGACCAAATTTCCCAAGATACACTAATAAGCTTTCCCTTCAAGAAAAAATTTAACTACTCTTCTAATAGCCATTCAGTTTAATTCAACTCAACAAATATTTATAAGCCCCAACTATGGGCCAGGCTTCATGCTAATGGTGGGTGTACAGACACGGGTGAGTAAGATGTGGCAGGAGAACATGTTCCCTGTGGAGCCTTCAGCCTAGAGAGGAACACTCTTGCCCAGATGATTGTAGTGTTAGGTGACAAGGGCTGACCTGGAGGTAAGTGCTGAGGGGGTATCGTGCAGAATGACCTGGAGGTTCAGAAATGGCTTCCCAGGGAATATGAGTCCAGACAAATGAAGAGGTTGGTCAGATAATGGGGCAGGAGGAGATGCCATAGGCACAGGGATCAGCACGGACAAGGCCAGGTGAGGCAAAGCAACATCCAATTTGCAGGGAGCTGAGCATTCCTGAGGCATAACAAGCAAAGCGGGGTGTGGTGGGTGATGGGACAAGAGAGGTTGTTAGGGGCAGATGGTGCTTGCACATGATGGCCAAAAGTGACCTTGGTCATACTGGCGATGGGCAAGGCTTAAGTTGATGAGTTAAGTGTTCAATATGAAATTTTGTTCTAAGGGATGGTTTTTACTCCATCAGGTGGGAGAAGGATACGTTAGAGTTCAGTTCACTTTGACCAACATTTATGGAGTAACTTATGACAAGCCCAGCACCCCATAGGACACCACGCTGCAGAGATCAGAAAAATGTGGTCCCTTCCCTCAGGAAGCTGACAGTCTGGTGAGTTATTATTGAAAAAATGGGAGTGCAGAAAAGGATATGTCATGCAGTAGTCTAACACTGTTCCCCTCCCTTAATATTCTGATTGGCAGCCTCATCCCAGTCAGTTGATGTTTGCTCGCCCAGTGTTGACACTTCTGGTCATAATGTTTGGTTTGGCTAGTGTGTCTATTGACAGAACAGTGTTTGGTCTGCTATATAGATGCAGAAACACAAAGGCATTGTGGATACATTGAATTACCTATGGCGACATTATGACCATAGGCTGTTCCTTGCACTGTTGGACACCAACAGCTGTGGGAACCCTCAAGACCTTTAACTCCAGCATCCCTTCAGAGTTCAACAAATCAAATAAAGTCCTCAGACTACTGGCTTTCTGCTCAGCTTCAGAACGATGCTAAGAATGTGCCAGGCATTCTCATAAATGTCTGAAAACTAATGAGATGAAGGTGCAAACAGTCCACTGAATTCTCACAGAACCCCTTGCATTTGGTGAGAAATACAGAACCCAGAAGTGGCTGTCCATGTCCAGAGATTCCCATGCTTCAGCTCAACTGATTTCTACCTTGCAAGGCCATAGTGGGATAAAGAGTAACTCCTTTCCCAAAGATATGCCCTACCAGAACCTGTAAATGTAACCTTAATTGGAAAAAGAGTCTTTGTAAATGTAATTAAATTAAAGATTGAGATGAGATCATTCTGCGTTAGGATAGCCCCTAAATCCATTGACAAGTTTTTGTAAGAAAGACAAATAGATACAATGACATAGGAGAAAGGGCCATGTGTTAATGGAAGTGGAGTGATATAGTCATGAGCCAGGGAATGCTGGGAGCAACCACCAAGCTAAAAAGGCAAGGAGGGATTCTCCCCTAGAGCCGTTAGAGGGAGTGTGACTCTGCCAATACTTCAGACTTCTAGCCTCTAGAACTGTGGGGGAATAAATTTCTGTTGTTTTAAGCCACCAAATTTACGGTAATTTGTTACAGCAGCTCTATGAAACTAATATGGGGGCTTAGAGCACCATTCTGATGACTGCTTGCAGGCCGTTAGAACAAACCTCTTCCTCCCCCATTGCCCTGAGGATCTCTGGGAGTAACTCATTCCTTCCTCCCTTCATCCAATCACCATTTAAGAGGCTGTGGACTGGGTGTATGAGAATGGATAAGAGGCAGACACTCCTTCAAGTGTTCATGGCTAGAGAGAGAGAAAAAGACATAAAGAGGCCATTATGACATTAAGTGTTATGAGCTAAATTGTGTCTCCCCAAAATGTATATGTTGAATCCTAATTCCCTATACCTTAGAATGTGACTGTATTTGTATTTAATGAGGTAATTTAGCTTAAATGAGATCATTAGGGTGAACCCTAATCTAATGTGACTGGTATCCTTATAAGAAGAGAAAAATTAGGACAGAGTAAGGGCCATGTGAGACACTGGAAGAAGATGGCCATCTGCAAGCCAGAGGTCTCGGCTGGTGATGATGAGGTCTTAGCTAAAAGCCTGATGGAGCATGAAGACCTTTGCATACATTCTTTCCTTCCTCGCTTTTCCCCAGGAGGGAATGCATAGCTACACTCAGGGAATGGTATGGTCAGATGTGCTCTTTATATGAACTTCTGGTGATTTTGTGGGGGCCTCTTGGGAAGGAGATGAGTCTAGAGGCAGAGTGACCAGTTGAATAACTGGCCAGGATGACCTCCTTGGCCTGTGGCAGCCAAGATGGAAAGGAGAGAACATTTTAGAAGGTAAAAGTGACCAGACTGTTAGGAAATGAAGAGCAGAAATCTAAGTTATCAAAAGTTTTAGTTTGTACCATTGGAGATAGTGCCCCAAAAAGTGGTGGGATTAGTTGTGGATGAATTGACATTGTTTGCAGTCCCTTGGGGAAAAATGTCTGGAATTTCCCTTAGAAAACAGGTATATCCTAATTTAGGATATTTATTTCAGAATATCACATCACCTTGATTTTCAGAGGTAACATAATCCACACATGATGATTTGGATAATGTTTGTTTATTTCTTTTTTTGTGAGGGTTTCCTCCCATGATTTCTTGAGATGTTCAAAGGCTTAGAGCAAGTGGCTGACTCCACAGGAAAGAAAAGGAGTTGGTTGGACCACTGAAAGTACATTCTCCTCCCTCCCACATGGACATACAAGGCAGGAATACCTAGATAAGGAAGGTGGAATGTATCACAGTCATAAATAACATTGAGGGTATATGGACCCTCCCAAGAGCATCTTTCACACACAAAAAAATATTTGCATAGACTTGTAGAATATTACAGAACCTCTAGAGCATATTTATGAACATCCAGCACCCCAGGCTAGGAATGCCAAGATAAAGGAAGTTCCCTGGATTGAGAAGCCAAAGTTCTGGCTTGCTATTAATTTGTAGGCAGCTGTGGACATGTTGGTTGACTTCTCAGGTTTTCAATTTTCTAATCATAGCTCTAGGATTCTGTGACCTCTTTGATGGCATTGATTCACACAGTAAACGAGTCCATATGGGCACCTAGAAAATGATTCTGAATAAAATTGGGACTTGACTGTGTTCCCAGAACCCTGATTAAGAAGAAATTATGACAAGAATAGATATCTTTTTTCAAACTTGCTCATTGTTCCATTTTTATATGCTTCATTGGTCCCATGAAAGGACAATTGGAAACAGGCAACAGGCTCAGACTTGTATCTTCTCACAAATGTTTCCAGAGACATATTTGATGTGTTCTTATTATTGACACTAGAGCGGGCTCTCCTTAGGGATCGTGGCATGGGAGAAGCCTTTCAAGGCTCTGCTATTCCCAGGCATCCAAATGTGTAACTTCTGAGTAGTCCATCCAAGCTAACACAGACGACACAAGCACATTTTCATTGGAAACTAAACTAAAACAACATCAATCAAAACTTTGTGCTGAATCTATACATTCTGCTTACCAAACATAAAGTATACATACAGATACTTTATACATTAGCATCACACTGGCTAGCTTTTTCTAGAAATTTGCCTGTGTGAAGACAAGGTTCTAAATATTTGAAAATATCCCAGTAGTCAGCTAAATAAATAAATAAATAAATAAATAAATAAATAAATAAATAAACAAACAAATAGTCATTATATACAATGCATTTCTATCTAAATGCTAGAACTAATCTTAGAAATGAAGCTTGGGACATTTCTATGTGTTCCATGATCTACACAGCAGCTAGAAATGTTTCTTAATTTGCTCACTCATTGCCTTAACCATTGTTTTGCTTGTGACATCCTCCTCTAAAACATTCTATTATTCTTGGTTACCTTCAGGATAAAATCAAGCCCCCCAGTTTTCCATGGAAGACTGCACTCCTGGCTCTTCAGCCTCACCCTCTGCTCTGCAGCTGTGCAGACCTCTCCACTCCAGCCAAACAGACAGTTCTACACACATGCGTTTGCTGTGCCTTTGCTTATGCTGAGCCCACCATCTGGAACATCCTTGCTGGCTCCTCAACTGAGCCACATCTCAACACCAAATCCATCTGCACTCCCCTTACTTTTCCATGAGATTTTACAGTTTCTCCCCTGAAATGATGAATTTGTGTTTACCTCCAAGGCAAATGGACTAAATGTGTTGCTTACGAAAACTCCTGCGAAGGACCTGGGAGGTTAGAGTTGCTAGATCTTGGCCAAGGAAAGAGCCCCATGGTGGCAAGAAAGGAAGGAGAGTCTATGAGTGAATAAGATTCCTTAAACTGAGCATCCCTATCAATACAAAACTTAAACATTTACCCACAGTATATGTTTTTATTCATTTACAAACTACATTAATGTACTACTATAAGAATATACTATGCACATTCATTTTGAAATACATAAAATATTGACATTTAAGAAGACCAGACAAAATTAAATAGAAATATTCTTCAACAGTTGTCCTTCTGATTATAATATTCTAATATCTCATGCATTACATTGAATGCCTGTTTTGAATACCATGACTGCTGGGACAGCTTCAAGCTTCCTGGGCTCTAGTGATAATAACAATTATGAACAACTCTGTTACACTTCCCACCATGCTGAACCAGGTCATAGAGAGTTACTCTTTTCACACAAATTCTAGGCTATGAGTCTAAGAAACATTTACCAGGGCTATTATGTTGCCTGACTTCAAGAGTGCACCATTCACATTTTCCATGAATGGTGCCCCCTAAATAGGTTCAGTGCACAACCTGTGCAGCCCTGCATGGGGACCCTTTCCATGCCTCATCAGAGACTGCCTCTGTGGACTATTTCCTAGGTTTCGCGTGCATTGAGAGTGGTAAGGAGTGTTGGTCTCATAGTGGCTCTTCCACCACACCCAAGTGTGGAAATCATGATCATTATCAAGCAGTCTCCTGGAGCAGATAATAGTGGTGCCATATATATGATGCTGATGAAGAGCTGGAACTTTACACCCTGGAATCAAAGACTGTAACACTTGGAAGGGATCACAAGTCAATGGAAACTTGGGTCCAGGAATGTTTCATAGCAAACTATTAAAGTTGTGTTAGAATTTCCTCACAAGTGCTCCTTCCACAACATTACACTGTTCATGTTAGGATCAGCTAGTGGAACATCGTTTGAATGTCTACTGACTATAAGGCACAGTGCTTAAAATAAAAATGCTGTGAATTGCTGAAATTCATCACAATAAATAACTGTTTAGGCTTCTAATGTGGAACATTTATTCTACATCAGGTACTATACTAAGCAAGTTACATGGCTTATATTACTTAGTCTTCACAACAATCTTATGAAGAACATTATAATTATAACATCCATTTTACCAATGAGGAAACTGAGGCAGAGAGAAGCTAAACAACTGACCAGAAATAAATCTGCTACACCAGGTTTCAAACCATGTAACTGGCTTTAAAATCTGCTCTACAGCATATATAAATGAGCACATCTTCTCAATCCTACATTCCAAGAGAAGGTGTCCATAGCTGGAACGGGAATAACACCTCCATTTACTCAGAGGCTCTGGCCAACTCCCCTAAAGTCAGTCTTGACTTTATTTTTTCTTTCTGCTCCACATCAAACCCATCTGCAAAACCTCTGGGCGCTCTCTTCAAAATAATCCCAGTCCTACTCACACTACCTCCCTGCTGTCACCAGAACTGGTTCACCATCATCTCTTGCCTAGGTTCTCAATTGCCTCCAAACTACTACCCCTGCTTCTATCCTTTTTCTGCTGGTCTGTTATCAAAAAGGCAACTAGAATATTCCTTCCAAAATCCTCTGGCAACTCCCATATCACTAAGCAAAAGTGAAAGTTCTTCCAGTGACTCATAAAGCCAGCAGGATCCATGACCACCTCCACCTTCCAGCCTCACTGGCTGCCGCCTCACCTCTTCACTCACCCCACTCCAGCCACGCTGCCTCCTCGCAGCCCCACCCACTGCTGTCTGCCCCACTGTGGGAAGCTGAATACGGTCCACAACCTAATCCCCAGAATCCAAGAATGTTACTTTGTGTGGCAAAAGGGACTTTTGCCGATGTGACTGAATTATATATCTTAAAATGTGGAGATTGTCCTGGATTATCCTGGAAGGCCAGACTAGTCATAGGCTCCTTACCAGAGGGTGGCAGGAGGAGTCAGATGAGAAGGAGCAAGGCGAAGATGGAAACAGGGAGGGAAGAGGTGGTGAGATCTGGACCCTGAGCAAGGAGTGAGAACAGTTTCTAGACATGGGAAGAGGGACAGAAATGGTTCCTCCCCTAGGGCCTCCGGCACACAGCCTGCCGGCCCCTTGTCTTCAGCTTCGCCAGCCTCCTGTTAAGTTTCTGGTCTCCAGAACTGTACGAGAATGCATTTGTATTGTTTCCAGCCACTAAGTTGGTGGTGACTCTAAATGACAGCAACAAGAAATTAATACTCCCATTATTACTGTTTTATGTTTCTTTATGGCACTATCACCAGCACATTTTTTATTTCCTTATTTATTTGCCGCTCAGTTGTCTCCCCTACTACAATGCAAAGTGCAGGGCAGCCAAGATTTTGTTTTCTTCATCATTGGAAACCCAGGACCTGGCACAATAACTATCTATAGGATGAATAAATAAATTATATATTTTAATTGAGTAATTGATCCACACTCTGAAATGGGGGAGCCTCAACACAGTGTTGGTTGAACACAGTCAAACCTGTGTGGCATTTTCACTAACTCATCTACAATAGCTGGTAACTTATATAAATGAGTACAGCATAGATGCGACCCAAGTGGTCTACAGTGAAACAGCCCAGGGGAAGAATCCCCCCAGGGCTGCTCAGCAACAAGCCCTGAGAGGCAGATGGTGAGCCATAAGCACACCTGAGCCCCATCCAATGCAGGGGGCCCAGCGCCACCGCTGAGAGCTGGGTGGAGGAGGGAGCCTGAGCAGGGCACACTCACACTCTCCATCCTCAGCAGCCAGAGAGCCCCTGAAATCCCCACTTTCATATGTTACATTTCCATTCAACATTGAATAAAGAACGTAGTGGGAAGGGGTTGGGGGTTGAGAAGCAGGGATTATGACCCTGGCTCTTCTTACTGCTACTGACTATCTTTAAAAAGAAGTCCACACACAGGAGTTGAGGTCGATGGTACATCCTGTGACCTCTTAACATAAGTATCCTAAATAGCATGTAAACTCAAAGAGCTAAATCCAGTATCTGCTTTAAGGAACTACAGATCTTAAACAATTTAGGAACCACACAGTGAAGATGCCAATACTTCTATTTCCTCCTACTTCTGTCTGGTTCAACATCAGTGAAGGGTACTTTCTGGTGAAATCAACATGACCAGATTTACAGATGATATCCTGATGCGCTCATATTGATGGTGATGGTGCTGATAATATCCACTTTGCTTGTTGCATGAAGTGGCATGGATGCCTCTGTCTTGAGCAAAAATACACCTAGTTCTCACTTTTCAAATGTGGTTTTTTATTCTTCATTTTTTTTTTGAAACTAACAGTGGTAATGTGGATATAGAAGTTGGAAGGCTGCTAGCATGCACCTACTTGAACGTCACCTCCTCCATGGAGCCCCTCCAGATTCTTTCATGCACGTTTCAGCAGTCTCTCCCAGAATACCCACTTGTACTCTGCTCACTGCTCTGTTTCACCAAGATTAATCCTGTACAAGTCTGTCTCCTACAACACATTGTTATTTCTTAAGAGCAAGGGCCCTGTCTTATACACACCCTCTTTCCCCACAAATGCACAACATAATACCAGGCAAGGTTTGGTACCTAAATATGAGCCAAACATTTTGCTAGATGCTTTCTGAAAGGACCTTGTGATAGAGTAAAGGAGACATGATTTACACACAAAACAGCTAGGGAAAAGGACAAAGCAGAAAATGATAACGTATTCAATTAGTAAATAAAGTGAATTTCTTTAGAGGAGTTATTGGAAACCAGGAAGGGAAGAAATAAGTGTGGACTGGGTTTCTTATAGGTTCATAGAGTAACCATTTTTATTAGCAAGAATAGCAGCATTCACTAATACACTGTCTTCGAATAATAGAATGTGTAAATATGAATTTGGGGTGGATGTTGGGGAAAAATGTTCTATCTTCTTGATTAATAAAGATGATTTATTTAGTCCTGAAATGCTTTTAATGCTTTGGTTATGTTTATAACCATACTCTTTATTACAGTATTGGTCTAAAACAAAGTTCACCAACGTTCTAAGTTCACCCATCATAAGCATTAAACATTAATGGGGGCAATCGATGTCCTACTACTACTAAAGTCATCTTACTTCATCAGGTATTTCAGTTATATGGGTGCCAAAAGGGCAAACTCAGTGACAGTTAACATTTATTGACCATTTATCTGAAGTCTTAGAAACGTTAAGAAGGAAACACTGGCACCTGGCTGTTGATTTAACTTCCTCTCACAAGCCTTGGCTTCATTTTGGAATGAAGCAAATTTTAACCAGACAGGAATATGTACCTAACATCTGTCACAGAGGTAAGGATTTGAGCAGCCATTTCTGCTCACTTAGAAGTGAGCGCAAAAAATGCTTTGCCCAGGTATAGAAGTCGGTAGTTTGACACACATTTTAAGTGCACTTTCCAGCTCTTGCCATTTTGAGCTGAGAGGGAACTCACTCTTGAACATGTATTACGATCCAAGGACTATGACACCATGCATCTCTCCCTGGTCTCTCAGCGTAAAATAAAACTCCAACTAAATGCCCTCTGCACATGCAGGTGTGCCTGACAGAGGCAGCCCTTACCTTCACAAAGAGAATGATCTCAGGGTTCACGGAAGCTGATTTATTTTCTTCCAAACCAGCAGAATAGCAGGTGGGAGAATCCCCATGGGTGAAGAAGGTCCTGCTCCTCTGGACTGTGAAGTTTGCAGGAGAGGGCAGGTCTTTCTCCACCACGCTTCCATTCTCCTGGGGCTCCTCTGGACCAGGCTCCTGGTCCGTGGTTGGCGAGCACAGTTCTTCCTTTGAGATGTCCCTGTCCTGCTGGGGCTCAGCTGGTTGGAGATGCTGAGCCTCAGGACATACCTCATCAGGCAGGAGGTAGCCACCTTCTTCTGGTTGGGAAGAGGCTACGCTGCTCTCCTCACCCCCCACAGCACAAACTGACACAGAGTCATACTCCCGGGTTTCCAGCTCCGGGGCAACAACAGTGTTTTCTGATCCCGAGTCTTCGTGAACGTCATCATAGAGGGGACCTTCGTTTTCCTCGGGCTGGTCTGGGACCTCATACACCCTCTCATTTTGGACCGTGTTGTAGACGATGCTGAAGTCTTCGTCATTCATGTTTATTGACCTGATGGATCTTTGCAGGCAGACCTGAATAGATCTGAAATGAGTAAAGGGATAGAAGATGCTGTGCTGCCTTGCAGAGGAATCAACAGGCTTACGAAACACAGCAAATAGCAACAGCTATCAATGACAAGTCTCTAACAATCATTTACTGGAGGTTTTAATAAACAAACTGCAAGTCCACTGGACACAAGATAAAGCTTACACACTCAGTTAACTCCTTCACTCCTGACAATATTTTTTAGTAGACTCTGGGGTTTTCCTCTGTGCCAGTAACCTCAAGGTTCTTTGGACCAACTGGAGGTTGAATTGAATTATCTTCCCAGTATACACTGAAATTCTGAATACTTAGCCATTTGTCACTAAATAGAGCTCCTCTTTCAATTGCCTCCAAATGTTAACAACACTCAAAAATCCCTGCAATTCAATGGAGAACAATTATTTGAAACTGTAACTCACTTATTCATAGCTGAATTAGTTATACAAAACAGTTCCTTGAGTATTGATATCCTATGATAAGTGAATAACACATGCTCCAGTTAGGTAATGAATTCCATTTATGTTTCTTATCTGGAAACACCACTAGGTGATCAAATGGGAGAAGGAAAAGAAAATAAATTATCGGGTCTATGGCCACATCAGTACAAAGCACCCAAAATAAGGGACTGAAAGATTTATGGCTTTAAGTTTTATTTTTCCCTCTTAAATCTGTGGGATCATCACAACCTTCACAAAGATTCTGTTATGTATAGGATACTGAATTGAGCACTAAACATGAGTTAAAAGATATATTCTCTATCATCAAGGGACTTATAAATGTAGTTGGAGTGCCAGCAAGGGACACTAAAATCTTAATGGGCACAAAATAAACTATTCAAGGTTTTCTTAGTGCTATTGATCCAGGTCTGGAATAAGCAACAAATCATATGTACAAGACTGCCTAGTTGATGTCAAACACAAATGCCACAGATATACAGGCTCTTTGTTTTTTAATCTTTATTCTATTTTGCTAACTCCTGATTTCCATCCCCACATCAAGTACATTGTTCTCTTTGACGTGACAACCCAGACAGATCGTAAAGGGACTTTAATGCCTAGAAATCATGTGAAAATTGGGATGAAGTGCAACTCTGGCTGATAGGTTTCAAAGCATTTGGTGAGCATCTTACTGATAAGCTCTTTTGTAACTTTAGGTCCAACATTGTAACCAGGAATCTTACGGAGAAAACTAGAGCAGTATTTCGAGAGTTCTAGCTTTTAGGACAGCTTAAGTAATTGATAAGGGGAATGAGGCCAGAGGCAGACTTTAAAGGCTATTGACACTAACTTTTTTTTTTTTTTGAGAGGG